CTCTAATCACATACAGGAGGCTTTTGCAGGGTCTAGCAAGCTATTAATATAGCAGGGGATAAGAAAATCTTAATTAAACAGAACTTGCAATAAAGAAAGCCTAAATAGGGCTCTCTTTACAGGAAGTGTTTATGGAAGGCTATGCAAGTCACATGCAGGGAGGTGTGACTAGGGTTCATAAACAAAGTGAATTAACTCCTAAATGACAGAGGATTGAGCAGTGAGGCTGCAGGGGCATGTTATATACACCAAAACTGCTTCATTAAGCTAACTATAGTTTCCCTTTAATAAATAGACATGTGTGAGTTCTTATGAGCAACTATACATTTTGTTTATGCAGTGACTGAAGGTTAATTATTGAATACATATTAATTCATCATGGGGTCTAATCACAGAGATAATAATGTAGATAAAGATTCTCATGCCGAGTTTACAATTAAAGTAAAGCTATGAATATAAAAGTGTCAGACTCACTGGTGTATGCCTAAAGGACAATTTATTTTTTATTTTATTGATTCCAAATGTTTCATGCGGCTTCTAATCGTTAACAGGAGAACATGTTTTTGCATTTTTAATATAATTTCAAAAAAAAAAAAAAATTTAAATTAGTAAGAGTAGAAAATAGTTTATAGAATTTCGGTCTGATAGAGAGAGGTACCTACCCCTGTTCTTAGTGCACTGATAATGCACTAATTTTAGCAGCAGGATACTGGGAACAACAATGGCAGCCAGAACTCCAAGTATGATTAAATCTCTTACAATTCCAGATTCTGACTCTTCGTCCTTGTCCTCTATGGAAAGATATGAAATGCACTTGTTTTTTGTTTTTCATTTGTATAGAGAAAAAAAATGAGAGATTAAATATTGTTACTTTTTTTTGTGTGTCCAGTCCTTTACTATCAAGGCATAACAAGGCATAATATGTAAATCAGGAGGATCCCTGATTGGATCTGTGAACATGCATGTCTGTAGCATGATGGTAGAAATTCTCAAGCACCCATGCGTGTATATATACCATGACCGGATCCATGTTCCTTTATGATATTAGATATCAATCATGATATGTAGGGCAATAAAAGGTAAACAATCCAATACGGAGGATCATGCACTAAGTTGTTTTTAACACACTGATCAGGAACATACTGCTTTGTTCTTTAATTATATTTTCTGCTAATTTCAGTTTAATTTTGTAGCCATTCTCTGTCCTCTCTACTTATTTAAGGAATTTCCCATTGTGTTCTAATGGGCACATGAAGTGTATTCAGAAAACAGCGTAACCCATACTAACACATTTCTGAAATGCTGGAACACTTTAGATCACTAGAGCTTTTTCTTTTAAATACTTAGATGGTTACTCCAAGCCCGCTTTAGTGGTTATGATAGTAGGAGTACCCTGGCCCCATTTACCGGTAAAGAAAAAATTATGTTTGGAAACGGTTTGCCCTCTAACCTGGATATCCCCTGTTCCCCTGACTGTCTTTCAGTGGCCGGTAACGTCATCTTGCTTCAGAGCTGCAGAAGCCAGAAGTCAACCCCATCAGCCATTCATTGGCTGAGAGACTCAGCTGACAGCTCTCATCCAATAAATCGAATTCTGTGCAAAGGAATATGCACAGAATTGACATTAGCTGGCCCAGAACTCTTGCAGCCAGAGGTGGAGTTACACTTCCTGCAGAAAAAGGGTTAAACTCCAAATGTGCAGAATGTCATACCAAAACACTGCACATACAGACCCCAGGCACCCTGACCACTTCAAATCTCTGAAGTGGTCATGGTGCATGGAGTAACTCTTTAAATTACGTACTCTATAACTAAGCAGTAAGACAAAATCAAACTCTACCTTATTTAAATCCGTATCTTTTAAATATCATTGTAAATGGTTGGATGCCAAGATCTCTGCTCAGAAACAATGTGTGAATATGTCCACTCACAAGAAGATAAAATGTGCCATACAGGCTACTTTTTTTCAGCATTTGTTTTGTTAACAAGCCTTTTCTTTTTTTTTTCTTTTTTTTTAATTAATGGCATCATTATTTATGGATTTTTATTAGCTCTTTTCCATCCTCCGTCTCTGCAATTCATGAGCTAGAGGTTATGTTTAAATTATTCTTTAAGTAGACTGCTTTTTGGTGAGGGTCCCTTGTCAGGCCCAGCTCAGGACCCCTTTGGTGTTTGTTGGTCCTTTTGTACTGGTCTGTGTATATTGTATCTCCTACCCTAATTGTACTGTGCTGCGGAAAATATTGGGTTTATAAATGCAAGTAATAATAAATATGTAAATATGTTTAGATTGCAGGAGCCAGGGCTTAGGGCCAAGACAAAAAGTAAGTTGGGTGAGGCCAATAAGTTGTGTAACTTCCTTTAATTGCCTGTTCTTTAAAGGTGTTTTTACTACACGTTTGAATTCCCATTGCCTGGTGACCTTGCATGGAGTACAGAGTTAAATGTCTTGGTAAAAAAAAAAAATAATGTTCAGTAGCTATGAAAAATTCAGGACTTATTTTAATGTAAATAATTAAAGGAACACTATAGGGTCAGTAAAACAAACATGTATTCCTCACTCTATAGTGTTTAACCCACCATTTAGGTGGCTTGCCCCCCCCCCCTTTAGCCCCTCTATAAAAGTATAAAACTCACCTTATTTCCAGCACCGCGCGGGTCCGTCAGCGCTGGCTCCGTCCCCTTTGTGACATCATCGGAATGCATGATTTTTAGCCAATCTAACATTGGATTGGCTAAAATCGGCATGGGGGTGGGGCGGGGCCAATCAGGACTTCCTCATAGAGATGCATTGAATCAATGCATCTCTATGAGGAAAATTCAGCGTCTCCATGCAGAGCGTGGGGACGCTAAACGTCAGCGCTGCTTTTTCTGCAGCACTGACCCAGGAAGCACCTCCAGTGGCTATCTAAGGAGTGACCACTTGGAGGTGTCCCTAGGAACAATGTAAACACTGTCTTTTCCCTGAAAAGGCAGTGTTTGCATGAAAATGCCTGAAGGGAGCTATTATACTCACCAGAACAACTACATTAATGTCCCTTTAACTCCCCCCCAACCTCACACCGCCCCCCAGATATCCGTATCCTCACCTTGAACAATCAAACTGACTTCTTTCTCCTTTTTCTCAGGACTGTAAATTAATGAACACTTATAGATCCCATTATCAGAATTCATTACTGGGGAAATAGATAAGGAAACGTCTCCATTTATCAAGCTGGTTACATTTATGGAAAATCTAGAATCCCTTGCGCTCACTGTGTTATTATAGCTCAGGATTTCATTTCCCTCAAAGAACCAAAATGCAGCAAAGAATGCGGGGTCCACAGGAGGTTTATCCAAAGTAAAAGTGCAGGGAATCCGGGTCACAGATCCCACTCTAGCTTCATGACTTGAGCTCACATTTAGCTCCAGAGCGCCACCTGCAGGAATTGGAAACAGACAATTAACAGGGATATGCAATGGACGGGGTTATTATGATTATTTAGAATGTCTATGAAGAAACCTTGATAATTTAATATAAATGTTCTGTCTACATCAGAACCATGTAGAAAACAATATTAAATAGTAAACTAGCTTAACTGGTAAAACATTGTCTGAAAAAAACGTGCGGGATAAAGATGGATTAATTGTTCATCGGATATTTATTTATTTTTATATCAGTTTGGTTTTTTTGTTTTTGTTTTTTAACTTTCAATAATTTTTTATGGATTTTTTTTTTTGTGCTTATTCTATAGGTATTTAAATTAGTGGCTCCCCCTCAATATTATTAGGGTGAGTGGGGTAGGTAGAATATTTTTGGGGGGGTCTTGGGGAACATTAGTCATTGGAGGGAGAGAGGGGTTGTATATTATTAGCCCCCACCTCTGCCAATTAGTGGTGACTAATAAGTCCACCCCCTACTTTTATTTTTAAGAGCCCCCACCCGCTGCCAATAGGTGTGAGCTGGGGGGACACTATGCCCCTCATTGCTTTTAGAACCCCCTCCTGCCACTAATAGGTGGGGGTGAGGGGAGACAATCAGTCTACTCCTCTTTATTATTTAGAGACCCCATCCAATGAGTGGGAGCTGGGGAGGCACTATGTCCCCTTGTTATTTTTAGAGCCCCCACTTGATCTCAATCGGTGGGGACTTGGGAAGATACTATGTTCCCCCCAGTTCATTTTATTTAAATAGCTCCATTCAATGGCTACATGGGTTTGGAGTGGTATACTAGACCATTAGCCTTTTTTAATAGCGAGCAGCCATTGACTGCTTGCTGTTTCGTAGACATGCCCCTACTCGCAAAACAGTGGGTAGGGTCAGGAGGGAGCATTTAATATATTGACCCCCATAGACTGGGGTAAGAGGGAGCATGGAGGAATTTAAGATGTTGCAGGGAGCAGAGGTCCCCGCTCCTTCTATTTTTAAATATTACAAGGAGGGATCAGTGAGCCGGTACTCCTTCCTTGTAACACTGTGTATATACACAGTATGTATAGTATACAGTAACCTGCCCTATATAACACACTCCCTCTCTGTAATTAGTTACCTGTAACTGTACATTACCCTCTCTCTATTATAAACTGTATGTACAGTATACAGTAACCTGCCCTATATAACACACTCCCTCTCTGTAATTAGTTACTGTAACTGTACATTACTCACTCTCTATTATACACAGTATGTACAGTATACAGTAACCTGCCCTATATAACACACTCCCTCTCTGTAATTAGTTACCTGTAACTGTACATTACCCTCTCTCTATTATACACTGAATGTACAGTATACAGTAACCTGCCCTATATAACACACTTCCTCTCTGTAATTAGTTACCTGTAACTGTACAGTACCATCTCTATTATACACTGTATGTACAGTATACAGTAACCTGCCCTATATAACTCACTCCAACTCCAACGGCACGCGTTCCACTTCCGGGTGGCGTCGTCAGTGTATACGGCTGACGTCACTGGAACACATACCATACGGGGCGTGCGTTCCATTACGGAATTTTTCTATAGTTTGATACCAGCTCGCACTCATTTCCATTATTACATTGTATATTCATGTGAATATATTATGGATGTCGGTGTAAACACATTTAAAATTGACATCTGACACTGGCATTCATAATATATTCACATGAATATACAATGTAATAATGGAAATGAGTGCGAGCTGGTATCAAACTATAGAAAAATTCCGTAATGGAACGCACGTCCCGTATGGTATGTGTTCCAGTGATGTCAGCCGTATACACCGGCAACGCCACCCGGAAGTGGAACGCATGCCGTTGGAGTTGGAACGCACGCTGCGTTCCAACGTGCGATAGCCGAATCCCGGAAGTAAAAGCAAAGAGAAGCTTAGGACGACGCCAAGCCATACAGAAGCACTTTATACCGACTGAGGAAGCCCCTGATACGGGGCGAAATGCGTTTCGGACTTTTCTTGGACTCTTTCCAGGACTGGTAGAGCCTTAGAGATTTATTTTATTATTAGCATCCTTTTAGATCGATTTCCTACTGGATTGCTTTTAACTTGCTTTAATCTCCATTTTGGAGTAATAAAGTTTCGCTTTTGAACCCAACATCTCGCCTGCACAGCTTTACTTCTTTTCGTCTGGAGCTAACACAAGGTCATCTGGTAATAGGACGGGGACATCCTTAAGAAAAGTCCCAAAGCGTACCTCTGTACTATTTAATAGGAATTATAAAATCAAATCACTGTAACTGACCTGATTGTAGACATAGAACCAGTATCATTAATCCTCTCGTTCCTCCATACATTTTCTAACAGAGCGATGTGTAAACTGTACTTTCTCCTTTTTAGTTTACACCGTGTGGTCGTATCAGATTTCTTATGTAGACTCTGTCCTTTGCTTTTAGTAAGTATCTTAACAAGTATCTGGACTCTGTCCGCTGGTATGTGTGTTTTATTTAATTATCATTACCCATTTCAGTATTGAAATGACAACAACAACACATTACTTACTTTTTGTTTTAGTTTAAAGTAACACATTCAGCACAATTACCATGACAGCACACTGCAGTGGTTATGGTGCCACACAATGTAGCTATTAAAATAATTTGCCATTGGATTAACAACTTACCTTGGGCAGAGATCAACACCACCAACTAAAGCCAGAAGTTTCTGGATACCCCAGGTAACTTATGAAATCATTGGGGCAGGGGGTACTACGGCACTCCTAGCACTATCACCACTACAGTGTGTGGCAGTGATTATTGTGCTTGGAATGTTCCTTTAATTTAATTTCTTTAATTGGTAAGGACACTGTAACGGAGCTCCTTGTACTCCGACCGAGTACCTTCGTTGATGGATGCTCCTCGTGCTTCCCGAGGGCTCCAAGTACTTCTCCAGACACCATAAGCACTGCAGACCGAACCTCTCTTCCTGCAGAGAGGGAAGCTGGTACCAGCTCTTAAAAAAGCTTAGTGATTATAGCTAGGGGAGTATACAGAGTATAGCAATCCCCCAGTGTAGATGCAGCAGTGTCCCCCATTCATGAGACGAGGCTCTATGTTGAGGGTCAAAACAGGAACAGCCAGAGCTGTGTTTTTATTGTTCTTATATACACATTCTTACACATTAGTACCACCCACAGGGTTTTGTAGAACATCCAATCAATCACATAATATACAGTAAAACATTCATTCCAGCAAAATCCTCCCCTCTGCCTGTGATATAATTACTGAACACAATGGGCTAACGTAATTATCACAGGCAGGTAATATACACAGTTTTACACAATATTCATAACTTTAAAAGTATACATCACATTCACATAAACATTTTCAGAACCAGCATACTCCAAATACAAACATACTCAAAAATCAGACAATTCCCTCCAGTGATTTAAAAGTTAGGTCCTTTGTGACCAACTGAAAGCATGGATTTTCAGCCCAAACCAGTTCCACAGAGTTAGGCTGTGTGAGATAATTGGCTTAACTGGGTGTGGTAAGCCAACTATCTCCAGGTACAGCAAATATCTCTATTCACAACAACAGCAAAAATACACAAAAATACATAACTCCTATCATACTGAACAGAACCCCCACATTCAACCTATCCCCAGATGGCTTGGATCTGAGCGCTCAATATATCCAAACAGCACTCAGATCCCACAAACACAGTCAAATCGCCATGGGGTTTAAGTTTAGCATGGGCTGATGAGAGGGGGCCATAGTCAAAAGGCAGGAGGCTGGCAATCAGGCTTCTCCGTAACCCATGGAAGCAGGGCAATTTGTCATAAGAGAAAATAGGGACAAAAGGCGTTTGTAACACAGGCTTCTCCAGGACCCATTGGCGAGGTTAGTTTCACCACAGACACAAACTTGTAAAAGTACTCAGCACTTTATAATTTATCATTCATTCAAATTTAATTTTATTTATTCATGTTGATATTAAATTACTCACCTTCACGTTCTGCCTGAATAATCTGATGTTCCAGCTCGCATTGAAATCAACTATTTCAGTATTAAGGGACCCCCTCTTACATTAATATTTGCTCTAGAGTAACAGTTGTCTCTAAAACGATTCCTTTCGAAGCCCTTTGATTCCCTTCCCCACCTCTCTCATGGTGCAGGTAGGTTTGTAGACAAAACTTCATGATTGCATTTTAACAGTTATATTATCCTTTGTTTATGTGCTAGCCATGGCAACCAGTAAAGTTTTAAGATAGTGGCTGTAATAATTTCTTATGCTTCTTGTCTTTCTGTGATTTCTCCAGTTGATTGATATATACGTCTTTTGTATATAAAGTCTTGGGTTAAAGGCTCGCACACGTTAATATACGTCTATATTAATGAAAAGTACTAATACACAATCTGACTTACGGTTTCTTCAGGTTTATTCTTACAGTTACAGATACATAATAAAACAACAAAGGATGTTACAGGATGATGGACGTTCAACAGCAGATGGTAATTGCTGGACTTCTGAAGGGAGAGTTACATTGTTACATCGAGAGAGAGAGAGAGAGAGAGACAGAGAAAGAGAGAGAGAGAGCCCTCGTGTCCCTTTGTTCAGTTACTATAGAGATGTGCCCATACTGACGTCAGAGTGTAACTCTAGCCATATAAGGACACGACCCCCAAATCCACATTCCAGAGCTCTCATACAAAGAAAGCCATGTGACTTAGACCATCTGTTACTTATGTCAATCCAGACATCCATAAATAATCAATAGAAACATAGAATATGCAATATTCTGCAGTGACGCGCCAGAATACATTCCCTCTCTCTGATCCCTACCTTCCCACCTCCTGATTTGCTGGACTGAAGTTAAAATAGAAGACAGATTTCAAATATGTGCTGATACAATGTACTATCTAAATCTAAAATATGACATTTTCACAATTGTTAGCTCAGAAAAAAATCTCCAATTTAAAAAAGAAGACATAGTTGCAAGACAAGACAATAATAAATAAAGATACAAACACAAAAGAAAGAATAGTGCAATATACAAAGTACTGAACCTTTAAATAAAAACAATAATTATAAAACAATAGTGCATATTAGCAGAAAAAAAAGGGGGGAGGAATTAAACTGACAACCTTTGCACTACAAGCTCAGTTCTGTACCTCATTCTACTTTCCTAATAGAACATTTGAATGACATTGTAAGACTTTTGAACTACTATACAATGGATATCCGTTTCAGACTCCCTACTGGAAATTACAATGAACTTTTCAAAAATCATCTCTGAGAACATATTGAGCATATCTGAAGTGCCCTCAGACTGAAGAGATTTCACTCAGATATTTACAGAGACTCGATTGATACATACTTATCTCAAGTATCATTATATGACGACAGACCAATATTTTGACTCCCAGTGAGTATCTACACTTATCAAGTAGCATTTTTTGTAACAGTTTTTAAGGATCGATTGTGGTTTATATTGTCGGGTCATTTACCTTTGTGGGATTATAAACATGTGTCCTCCCTATCTTCACTCCATAGACTGAGATCTAATTAGGAGACTCCATATGTATATATTTTCTTTTGTTAGGTGGTGATGGGTTTATTATTATTTTTTACTGGTTATTTGAATCCTTGAATACTTCTAGTTTTAATATATGTTTTGTCCAATTTTGATAAAATGTTACTTAGCATTTTTAGTGTCTTGCTTATTTCCATTTTTCCTCTTTTCGTAGGGGCTCTTTGGAATTAGTTATTAGATTTCACAAACAACCTTCATTCTACACATGCCCAGCTCCTCTCAACAGCCTACCCAGCCAGTCATCATTCATGAGTTAGTTTACTGGAAGAAGGGCAGGGGAATTTTTGGCACTGCAGTGATTATGTTTAATGAGAACATTTAATACTTGTTATATGTTTTACTATGACAATTATTTGGTGAGGCACTGGAGTAAGGTCCTCCATGGACAACCACCACTGTCTGCTAGCTATACTTATCATGTTTCAAGTCAATGTTGTATTATTCTTTTTTTTTTTTTTTTATGAAAACTGGATAGTCAGGGAGTTAATAACGAAGATTCCCTATACAAATTGTCTTGTGTTGTCCTGAAATACATTATTGACCTCTGCCTCTGTTACCAGCCTTCCTGTGTTACAAGCCTGCCTCTGTTATCAGCCTTCCACTGTAACCAGCCTGCCTTTAATACCAAGCTGCCTTTGTTTCAACCCTACCTGGAGATCACAGACTTTCTTTATTATTTGCAAGTATCATGTTTTGTGGCATATTGCCATAATTCTGTTTTTTTTCTCAAGTTTCATAATATGTCTAAAAGCACCAATAAAGTCTCAAATAACAACCCTGGCCAAAGTCTCCTATCTGACCTGCTCAAGATCGTGACAAAGACACTTTTTGGATCAGAAGCCTATCTCTGGTGCTTACAGATCTTAGAACTCTGTAGCTGATACCAAACACCAAGGAAAGGAACTGGACAATTTCTTTATTTCCAAACTAGGACCAACCTTCAACAGTACTACATTTAACTTATGGTGGGGAAGTCAAAATCGTACATAACATAAAAACATAATAAAATGTAAAGGCACAATAAAAATACATAACTGTCACATAAAGGAGCATCGGGAAACTCAAAAAAAATCGAAATCCAACAGCATTTTGACTGCATTTCACATATCTGCATATATATGCAAATCAGAGTAAATGTACCATGGTCTTTGAAATCTAGGATGTTTT